CGGTACACGACATATATGCGAACCTTCGACCAAAACCTAGCGAGACCTACCGTACCCATCTAACAATGTAACAATTTCAACGTACCGTATCAATTTTGAATTTCGTCGTTCACGGTGCCGAATGATTAATTACAAGTTGAATATTGCTTTCGGCAGTCCGACAGATACTTTTCGGACGGTTCGGCACAGTACCGGATCACGCGGTCAAAATGCTCACAATGCTGCTGAAATGACGTTTTTGCTGTCTCAAACATATTCCAACTTTTCGGCACAGGGTCTCCATATTCTCCGAAATATTTCGGCAGGGCAAATAATTATTTATTTTTTGCCGAAATTAAAAATTGATACGGTATAAGAAAACCAGTTGGCGCGACATTGCAACCCAGCCCCGGGCGTCGCCTGCTGTATAAGCTATTAGCCATGACTGCTCAAAGGGCCCAGCATTCACCATTACCGCGCTCTGGTGAACCGTTTCCATGTCACCACGGGCCAGCCTGCTGGCTTCCTGTCCAAAATCAAAGCACTCCCTCCTCAGGCTCAGCAGAGCAGAGCAGCGAGGTGATGCTTCAGGTTGCTCGTGTGGGCACATCACGGCGTCTGCCAGCTTTAAAATGCTGGCTGCATTGGTACCATGCCTTCTTGAAATTGCTTCTAGAAGTTTCGAAAGGTGACTCAGAATCCAGGTCACCAAGGACAGGTGGCGCTGGCAAGGTGTGGCGCTTTGCGGCGTGCTGCGGCAGATCTTTAACCAGCTTGCATTGCAGCCAAGTGTCCTGCCATGTGGCCCTGAAGATGCTTCTCTGAGTCAGCAGCTTAGGTGCCTCAGTACAGCTGGCGGTGGCACGCAATGGCGCTCTTCGGCATCCTGCAGCAAAATTCGGAGCTTGCTCTGATGGGGTCCAACGGTCCCCACACTCATTTTTCAGAAAGAGAAAGGGTAAACTTCTGGAAGGAGCTCTGTGACGAGCTCAGGAGATGGCAGTCTGTGGTTGGTGCGCCGTGTACGCACGCATCTGGACAGCGTCAGGTGAGAGTCTTGCTTTGGTAGCTCTCTGACGCAACCTTCAAGCACAACCTGTACATATCTGTGTGACAGCAATGAAGTTGGGTTTGGCATGTCTGCTGTGAGTGGATGTTCTCGATCTGGAAGAAGGGGCTCGTTGTCAAAGCATGAACTCATCAGTGCGACTGGGTCAGCCTGACTTTTGTGGTCATCACCAACATGCAGTGAGTTTGGTAAGCAATGGGCATACGCATACTGGCAAGAACCATGCATAAGAGGGCTGACTTCCATAGGTTTCCAGATGCAAGTTCTGCAGTCAGCATGGGTGACAAGTCGATGAGGGTGAGAATTGCAGTGATCTGAGCCTTGATATGCTGCTGTTGGGTTGAAAGCTGAACCTACCTATGTTATGCATGCAGGCTGAATGCCCACTAACAGCAAAGAGCGTAGTCAGTAGCGCTGCGCACCAGCCCTTGAGGTAAGCCCTTTGCTTAGGCTTCTATGCTCGTGTGGCATGCGGACCTGCGCACTTGTACATTGACAGGATTCTGCGCCAAAGTGGGACTCATTTATCTGATGTCTACACTTGAGATTCAGTTGCTTGTCATGCATTCTGAGACTCCGAGGGGTCTGCTGAGCAATCATTGTCCCTGTTCTGCAACAGATGGAAGAAAAACCGCTGCAACGCAAGTCGGCAGCCGCGGTGTGTAAGAGCAAGGCAGGCGACCATGCTGCTGATCTGGGCTCTTTCTCTGTGGTGAGCCCTTGATTGTTGGGAATATGATGCACTGATAGACTCTGCCATGAGCACATGGTTAGGTCCGAGGATTTGAGGGCTTAGGATGCTATTTGTTGCAGATTGTCAGGTTGCTTCGCGTTGTGGTCGTTGATGGACAGGGATTCAGATGGTGTGCAGTAGCTCATAGGTGCGTTTCTGCAGAACCTGAGGTGCAAACTGTATAATTGTCAGAAGGGCCCACGCCCCTCACGCTTCCTCAGATGCATGCTGACACGTCAATTCCTCCCGCAGGCGACTCCTGGTGTACCCTGCACAATGCTCTCCCGCTGTCAACCATAAAAGCAATCGTGGCAAGCGCGGCGCGGGGCTTTCTCACGAAGTCGAAGAGAGGCCGTCGCATCTTCAGGAAGGTGGCGGGAGGCGTGTGCGGGCGCGCCAAAGATCAGCTTGGGCCTGACGGCCTGCGCTGGACGAAGGCGGCCTGGGTAGGGGGCCTGCGCGCGGCCATGGCTGGGCTTGAGGCGCTCGCGGGCACTCCTGATGCAGGCCTGCAACAAGGCTTCAAGGAGGTCCTGACTTCGATCGCGCAGGCCCACTTGGAGGGGTTGCAGCAGCAAGCCAGCGCTCCCTGCAGAGGTCACAGGACGTCCACAAGCCCAGCGCCTGCGAGCCCAGCGGCCGTGAGCCAGAGCCGGGCCCCAGCTGGTGGCACATCCAGGAAAGCGAGGAAAGCGCGGGAGGAGCTTGCCAGCTACCTCTTTGGGGACAAGGGTGAGTAGCGCCACCTTGATCGGGCCAGCTCCATTGAAGCACCTGCCCGGGCCTTTGCGAGAGTCTGCTACAGGGCTTTTGGGACTACTCATGCTCTAGGGTCAGGACTTACGAGCTCGAGTGTGTGAACAGGCATATGAGAAGGCGAGACTTCTATGCCTACTCGAGTCAATCAGAGCTTCACATGTGTTCCGTTCCTGAGCCCAACTCTTCGTGCTTTCTCTTCCAGTGCCACACGGCCTCCTCTGCGGAGAATGCAGCAATCCCGCGACCTTTGGGGTGCGCGGGGGCAAGGAAGGGGGCAACCTCAAGTGCTTCTGCGGACTGCATCGCCCGTTCAAAAGCTGCTTCCAGATTGAGACGGCACGGGCAGGTGAATTCTGATTGTGCCAGCGCACCGTGGCCTTTGCATCGGACACTTGGCTCTTGATTCTGTCGGCCGCGACCTGTGGCATCGTGCAAATGTGCAAACTGTAGATATACAGGCATGTGGGGTGTCGCCAGCAAGCCTGTAAATGTCCTGCATGTGACATCTGCTTTGTGCCGTGTTTTTCAGAGTGTTTTTCAGAGTGGGCACGTGCTCGTGAAGTGTACAAGTTGAAGACGGAGTTCAAGCAAGCGCTTGATGAGGAAGCGGAGCGCGAGAAGTAGGGATGGTGAGGTTTTCGTGGGAAAAGAGCAATTCGGCTCTTGCTCGTTCATCCTTAGATCCAGCTTGCTATCCGACTCCAATCAATATCTCTGCCTTCTGTACTTTGCTTGGTCTTGCTCAAGTTCCTTGAAAGCTCACCTCTTCGATGTCTCTCTGAGAGTATTATGTCGAGCTTGGGTCGTGCTCACACCTTTAGGCCGCTATGAACCTCGCGTGCTCACGTGCCCACTCAACCCGTTTGCTTCTCTTCCACAGCATGCGATGAATACCAGCATGACAACTTCTGGTGGGATACGACTCCAAAAAGCAGGCTCATCATTGGTGCCTCATTGGGAAGTTGTCGTCTGGTGACAAGGTGTGGTCCTTGACCGGTTGCATGGCCGGTCGGACTCTCTGGACCACACCTTGCACATGGCTTTGGAGTGCTGAGAGCGAGTTTCCTTATGATTATTGACAAGGTGTGGTCCAAGGCCGAACCTGCTTGCCACATTCTTCTAAACGGCCTGTACGGCGGGTCCGACTCACTGAAAAGTTGGACCACACCTTGCAGATGGCTCTTGCTAGCAAAAGAACAGACTTCCTAAGAATCATTGACAAGGTGTGGTCCATGACCGGATGGCCGGTCTGACTTGCCGGACCACACCTTGCACATGGCCTTACAGTGCTGAGAGCGGGTTTCCTTATAATCATTGACAAGGTGTGGTCCTCTGGACAAACGCGTGCATGCCACTTGCTTCTTTATGACCCGGATGGTCGGTTTGGCTTGCTTGACCATCATTCGCATTCATTTTGCAGCAAAGCTACTGCTGATCGGTGGAGTCGAGAGCAACCCCGGCTGGCCAGCGTCCAAGTCACAGTGGAACGAGGATAAGGACTTACCTGTCCTTGATGTCGGCCCTCGTCGTCAGCTTGTGATCTTGCCCTCTCGAGAGGTGAGGACAAGCCCATGCCGACTCAACAACTTGCAGCACGCGTCTGTGACAGCTCATAACTCACGAGCGCAGTGCTCTGCTTCAAAGCGTTGCTTGAGAGTATCAGAGATTATGCTGATTTTGGAAAGAGGGCGTCATCTGAACTCGTATACCTGAGCCGAAACCTAGTGGTACTCAGGACGAGAAGCTGTTGTGCAGGATGTCGAACGGAGCTGGCGGCCCGCATCTGCTCAGCACGCTGTTCAGCGTGATATTGAGGCGTTTGAGAAGTGGCGCAAGCATGCGGAGCTCTACAAGCAGGTGAGCGGCTGTTACAGTCAAGGCGCATAGGCATGACACAGTGATCGAACACGATTCTCAGCGCTCGTCTTTGGCCACTCATTGCTCTTCCAATAAGCACGAGTATCACTTTCGAAGACTCTTTGCAAGTCAATCGAGAAGGACAGCGGATCCGCCAATACTCCGCCACCCAGAAAGCTGCGCACAGCACCCCGTTCAGCTTAGGCATTTTGTTTGACCTGTTGACCTCTCCACATTTCAGGTGGACGCCAGCCGTGCGGATTCGGAGGGAGACATTGCCGCACGAGCATCTGACCACGTGGTCCCCGGGGCCATCGAAAGGCTGGGGTCCACGGAAGGGATGCCGAGTGCGGCTGAGGTTTTGCTTCAGAGAGAGCTCAGTCATCAGGACAGGATAGAAGACGGTCTTCTGACTGCCCTGGTAAGTTTCGAATCCTCGTTTCATTGCTCTAGCACCGTGTCAGGGAGTTGTTACAAATGCATCTCCCTTGACTTGCAGAGCCAAGTATTTTGTGTCTTTTTAAAGGGAAGTCGAAGTGCTGAAGGGCCAAAGAACCGTGCCAAAACAGCCTACAGTCTTCATAATCTTATCAAGAAGCGAAGGCCAGCCTTTCGTTTTGACTGGATCTGCTGCGCATCTGATCAGATGCACGGATCAGATCAGGCGACGATGCACAATCAGTGAAGTGCTGCAACGTGTCTCTCCCCGTCCTGGTTGTAGGATCACATTGGGGATGGAATTGTGGTGATGCGCTCATCATACTCTGACCGAATGTCACTTATCGTCTTTTCAGGTGGAAGACAATGGAGTGGATGCAGAGGACCGGCGATCTACTTCGATGAGAGGGATCGCGGGCATTGCAGTCGAGAACGTGGTTTGCGGCACCACAACAGAGGTGAGAAGTGACCGGAGCGCGGTCAAGCTATATAAGTTGCACGCATCTCCACATTTGGGCAGCGCCACACAGATCCCCTCTCGGATTTTCGTTCCCTTCTCGTTCTAGAAAGCGGTCTATTAGAGTTCTGCTTTTTGGGCAAGAATTGCATTAAGCAATGCTACCGTGCTCAGATTTGGAGCTGCTGTGATGCTTCTCAGGCAGTGACTGGAGAGAAGATTGTTGAACTCGTCTACTGTTTCTCGCATGTCTCTTTTAATAGCGTGACCTTTTCGAATGGGGTTGGCTCCAGATGGTCGGATGCCACCGCTACAAGGAAAAAATCCGAGATTTTCTGGACCGCATCAGCAGTTTGTCCGACGGCCTGTCTTGCTTCCACAGAATGCACTCGGCCCTGATTTGCATAAGGACGTCTCTTGGTCATTCGCTGACGAAATCCCCATCTCTTGTCCAGGAAAGCGGCGGCAACCAGCTGTCGGCGACAAGTGCGGCCAGCGCATCCGGTTCCATGCGGTCAAGATCCGAAGAAGAGGGCGAGGACATTGAGGGGGCGGAGTTTGAGAGCATGGGCGAATCTTCGGACGAGGAGACATCCCAAGATCGAGACATGATCGACGACAAAAGCCAGGACGAGGAGAACCTGGTTATTGCCCGAGGCAGAATGCGCGCGGCCCAGGAGTCCGACTCCGAGGTGGACGTTTCTCAGCTTCTGGGTCGGCGCTTCAAGCTGCGAGCGCCGGGACAGGCGACGAAAATGATCCAAGCCGCTTCCCCGCCCTCACGATCGGAGTCCTCTGCCGAGTCCGGCTCTTCCGCGAGCCACGGGCGATGCGCGGGGGCCCTGGCTGATCGGCAGCTGGCGCCGACCGCAATGGAAACGGATTCCGAGTCGGACGAGCTTCCCGTGCGCCGTAAGCGCCTAGTTTCCGATGGGGCAACCCGCTCTCCACAAACCAGGCGGCGCCGCTGGGTGCTGCTCTCATCATCGGAGTCCTCGGGTGAGAACGGCAACGTCTGGGCAAGGCAGAGCGATGCTGCTGGGTTGGACGAGGAAGTGCAGCAGAGGGGGGGCAATGAGCCCGTGCCTGGTGACAGTGCCAGCTCCGATGATCCGCCAGAGCTTGAAGACGATGGCTCTCTGGACGAAGTGGACTTTGGGGAGGAGTTTACGAATCTGTGCGTGATCGTGCCGCGTCTGCGGCAAGCGACCATTAGTCAGGTGAGCGCCATTTTAATCTGGATATTCTGCTGGAGTTCGGGCCATCCGCGAGGTGTGGTCCGGTCAGTTAGGCCGCCGGTAAGTTGGACCAGCCTTCCCTCCCATCAAGTAAGCAAATGGCGGGCACTCTAAGCACTGGACCACACCTTCTC